AAATGTTAATTTCCAGCACTATTTATAATTAGAATGGGTTCAGTTGTTTCCAGCTTAGGATTCGGTATCTGTAAATATAATCTTATTTGAAAACAAGGTATTTTCAAGTATTATGAAGTCAGAGTACAGTCATACTGGAAAAGGGTTGGCTTTAATCCTTTATGATCATTGTCCCTATAAAACTGTATACCAACTTTGTAAGTAAGCCAGTATATCTATAAAAAGAAGAACGGCTCTAATTTTAATGATGGGCATTTTTATAAGGAAAGAACGATTTAGATCTACACATAGGCCAGAAGGGCCACATGAACACAGAGACAGAGATTAGGGCGATGCATCTACAGACCAAGGAACATCAACGATTGTTGGAAACAAGGAGAAGCTAAGGAAAGAACATGGAACAGATTTGCTCTCAGAGCTTTCAAAAAGAAGTAACCCTGCCAACACTTCAATATCATTGTTAAGGCACCTCAGGCATGGTGAGAATGTGTTGTTTTAAGCCCCCCACCTTGTGGCCATTGGTTACAAAAGTTTTAGGAAACATACACAGTAATAATTAGCTTTGATCTCTTATTATGTGACAACTACCATTCTACTGATTAGTCTGGATATACTACTAAAGAGCTGTGCCACCATCCCAAAGGCACAAGGTTCAAATCCACCAGCTGCTCTATAGGAAAATGATGAGCAGTGTCTTTTAATGCAATTTACAGCTTCTGAAAACCTGCTGGAGGATTAGCTAGGAATCTCTTTTGACTCCATAGTACATAACAACAACAAAAACAACATTTTAAGGCTGATGAAAAGGAATAGTCCATTGAGAGTATGTGAGTGGAGAACTTAGGTGGTGAAAATGATTAAGCATTTAACTGCTAACTAAACCCAGAAAGGGCCACGTATCTACAGACGGCTAATCACCGCCTCTGGAAATCCCATTAAGTTCAATTTTACACTCAAGTATGTAAAAAGGGTACAAGTTGAAGTCAACTCCATGGCAACTGGTTAACTATATGAACACATTTTCATTGAGAAATATTAACATAGCATTAACATCCCATTTAGTTATACTTCCACGTTGGTCTCTCAATATCTAGTCGTGTGCTCTTTCAATTCAAGACTTCTATTGAATGCTGAAGTTATTTAGAATCTCTGATATGTAACATTCTGATGGTATCTATGACCTTGTGGGTCTAGTAATTTTGAAAAATACTGTTATAAAAAAGTGAAGTACCTAATATTTTCCAATTAAATTATATATATATATGTTGTTATTGATTGCCTTCGAGTCGAACATGACTCATAGTGACCCTATGAACAAAAGACCTGAAGCCCCTCTACAACTATCGACATTTATCCAAGTTCATAGAGTTTCCAGAGGCATGTTGTTTAGGAAGTGGATGCTGCTCCTGCTTCTAAATATTATATACACGTGTGTGTCTCTGTGTGTTATATATGTGTGTGTGTGTGTGTATATATACCCATATAAATATATAACAAATTACACCAACATGTTATGCACCCACCACCAATATCTATTGCCGTATCTTCCATCATCCCCATAAGGAAAAAAAAAAATCTCTGTTACTTAAACAATAACTTCCCTTTTCTTCATCTCTCTCGCCCCTGGTAACCACTACTAACACTAATCTCTATATTTTTGCCTATTCTAAGTATTTCATGTTAGTGATAAGACACAATATTTGTTTTCTTTTGATGGGAAGATTTTACGCCTCACAATGTTCTCCAGGCTCATTCATGTTGTGGCATCTTAAGAACTCAATTTCTCTTTATTCCATAGTAGAATTGTTTTTATATAGCACATTTTGCTTTATCTAGTTATCTCTCGAGCATCTAGGCCTGTTCCACTCTTTTGGCTTTTGTGAGTGCAGTGGGATGAATATTATTTGCATGTGTACGTTTGCATCAGTGCTTTCAAGTCTCTTGGATACATATGTAATATTTGAATTTCCACGTCTTTTTAACGGTTTTCTTTTACATTCTACTAATTTCTTCGTAAGGAAATAATGGTTCAAGAAGATGAACCTTAAGACCATCACCACATATTCAGGAAATGGCTGAGTCAAGTTTGAATTCAGTTTTGTGTGATCTTTCCCCATGACCTCATGATTCGAAGACTGGAAGAGAAAACCTCGCAGGGCGGAACACCTGTTCTTAATGGATAAGGGTCGACCCGTGTTTTCCCTGACAAATTCCATCCATCTCACTGAAGGCGGTAAGAGAAGAGGGTGTTCTGTGTGTTGGAGGTAAGAAGAAATCGAAAAGGTCAGAGTTTCGTTCTGTTGTACGTAGGGTTTCTGAGTTGGAGCTAACAAGATGGCACCTAACAACCACAGCATTGTACAGAACAAATTTCTAAATTACTATATACTGAGTGTCTACTGTGTGCCGCTTACTCTCCTTGCCATCAAGTTGGATCCATTTATAATTGACCCTCTCGTGTGTTTTTAAATCACTTGGGAGGAAATTGTCCTTCTTTCTCTCAAAGAGCAGGTCAATACACTTGTATAAATTTACAAAGCCACATAACAGTCAGTCCTTGGAGAGGGACGTCATTTTGGGGAGGGTAGAGGGACAGCTCAAACGAGGAAGACCCTTGATGAGATGGATCGATTCAGTGACTGGGGTAATGGAGGTAGGTGTGTCAGAGACAGTGAGATTGGCACAGGACAGAGCAGGGTTTAGGGTTGTTGTATATATAGGGTCACTATGAGCCGCAGGCTACTCGACGGCACAGAACAACAACAAACAACGACATAGGGATATGCTGTGGGAAGCTCTGGTAGTCTAGTGGTGAGATGCTGCATTGCAATCCTGAAGGCATGTAGTTCGAATCCGCCAGCTGCTCTGCGGAAGAAGAATGGGCAATCTTCCTGTTTGATTAACTGCTTCTGAAAACCTGCAGCAGAGTTGCCTGTGGGTCGGTTCCGGCTCCATCGTACACAACAACAACAGGCTTGAGATATGAAGACGTCTATTTCATGGGGATCCCCAGTTTGTAGGAAGAAAGAGACTTGATTAAGCTAAAACTAAATGTAAACAACAACTCCAGACAGCTACGCTGGGCTGTTTTCAGTTCTGGGCTCTGCTGCTTTTCGTAGGAGAGGTTTCCATTTAGTATACTCCCTCACTCTTTTTTTATTATTAAATTTTATTCATTTTAATGGACATTTACAGAGATTTTGGGTTTCCATTCATTCATTGTTGCAGCTCCCTCACTCTTTGAAGCTCTCCCTCGTCTTTTTAAACTGTGCTGGAACAGGTAGGGATCTGTGACCCTTGTCTTGTGGGTCTTTGGTACAGAGATTCTGAACTGCCATCTGTCCAGTCTTCCATCTTGTAAATAACATTAGGAAGAATGAGAATCCTGGAACATGTAATTGTATTCATGGGAAACCCAGACTTAGACTGTAAATAGAGCAATAGCCATAAAACAAGTAGAGAAAGAATGATTACAAGACCAAAGACATGATCCAGCAGAAAAAAGGAAGACACACTTCCTTTGAGGAACAGGTCCACTAATCGCAGGCCACCCCCTGGCATGTCTACTCATTGTCCCTCCTGTTTGAAGGATTAATCTTCCCATTGCAATCACCTTACTAGTAACTACATTCATGGAAGCCAGTTACTTCATTACTTATGCTTTTATCCTCTCATATTTTAGATACCTAATTCCTTCCAAAGGTGGGTGGTTTTTAAAATTATTATTAATTTCAATGAAAATTTACAGAGAATTTGGATTTCCATTCATTCGTTGTTGTACTTTTCTCCCTGCCCCCCACCTCAGTTCACCCTTCTCTTTGAAAAGTAGAAGAAAAATTCTTTCCTTGTTATACCATCCCTCCCCCCAACTCCACTCTACTGTGCAGCCTTCATTCTGGACTCCTGCCAAGACAATAATACCTAATCATATATCAAAGATGGGTGATTTTAATCTGTGGCACTTAGGCTTGGTTTTAATTGTTTTTGGTCACACATTCTTCTGAGTGGTATAGCCCTGGTCTGTCCATTTGCTGTACAGAGGTAACTTGTGGTTGTGATGCTAAACACTGTGACACTGACATGTCAAATGAGATCATGGTCACCCATGGTGGACAGTGTTTGGTGGAGCTAACTGATTAAAACAAGCTTGGAAGCAGGAGTGACATCCACTTCTGAAATAGCTTGCCTGTTGAAACTCTATGAACTTGTAGAAATGATGGAAGTTATACATAAGTGTTCAGGTCTTTTGTTCATAGGGTTGCTATGAGTCTCCTATGACTCAACAACAAGCCAGTACAGGATGAAGTTCAGTGAAGCCAGGAAAAGAAGCTAGTGGATACCTTGGGGACATTGGTCAGGCTCTGGTTTCATTGCACTTTTTTTTTTTTTTTTTGCTGAGAAACTCAATGAAGGCTCTGTGTACATCATCTGATTCACCTTTTATAAAAATGTATGTTATTTATGGTTCAATAAGAATATACAGGCAGGAAAAGGCACATGATTTCCAATAATTTCTATATATCCAGTTTAGTAGCCTTCTTCAAATTAAGCAACAGTTGTTGACATACTTCAAATTATTCTGTCACCGTTAACATAACCTCAAGTTCCCTAAGATGTTCATCTAATCTTTTGAGTAGCCTTCGTCAGTTTGATAATCCTTTGGAAGAACACAGTGCCCAGAGAAGACATATGTAGCTAAACTATTGTTTGGTTCAAAGATGTTGGAGAATATAATTGGTTTAAGGTTTTACATTTATCCCAAGGCTTCATCCAGCCTCGATGACTCCATAAGTCTTAGATTTCATTAAGAATTTAGAATTTCATTACACTTCACCTAATCACATTATTTTCCCAATAATAAGAACTCCTAGGCTGCTCTGGGTAGAATCTGCTTTGAGGACAGAGCCTGGGAGGTACTGACTGTTTCTTTCGTTCTCCCTGTCCTCGTTCCACAGGCTTCCTTCAATTTTATGTGCATAATCCACACATTCCCTTGGACCATGCCTGAATCCTGGGTTCCTGCAGGCACCAACCAGAGCTCAGTACACGAGTTCATCCTCCTGGGCTTCGCCCACATCCCCATGCTGCGCCCACTGCTCTCGGCACTCTTTCTGGCCATGTTCCTTCTCACACTGATGGGCAACGGGACCATTGTGCTGCTGACCATATGGGACCCAGCCTTGCGTGCCCCCATGTATTTCTTCCTGCGCCAGCTGGCCCTCGTGGAGATCTGCTTCTCTCTGGACATTGTGCCCCGGCTGCTGGTCACCCTGATGTGGCCTGGGAGGGGGATGCTCCCCGTGAGTTGTGCACTGCAGATGTTGTTGGTGCTGGCCCTCGTCACGTCCGAGTGCTTCCTCCTGACCGTCATGGCCTTGGACCGCTATGTGGCCATCTGCAGGCCGCTGCACTATGGTGCCATCATGAGTCCACTGCTCTGCCACCTGCTGGCTGTCACCTGCTGGCTGGCTGGAGTCCCTGTGTCACTGGTCTTCACCATCTGGCTCTTCAACTTCCCCTTCTGTGGGCCCCATGGCATTCGTCACTTCTTCTGTGACATCGCCCCTCTGCTGAGCCTGGTGTGTGCGGACACAAAGGTCTTTGAGACCAATGTGTTGGTGGCCACCGTGCTGGTCATCATGGTTCCATTTTGCCTGATTGCTGTGTCTTACATCGGTGTTTTGGCCACCGTCCTGGGTATGTCATCAGCCACAGGGCGCCACAAAGCCCTGTCCACATGTGCTTCCCATCTCATCGTGGTCATTCTGTTTTATGGCACGACAGGGGTCATCCATTTGCGACCCAAGGCCAGTTACTCTCCAGAGAGCAAGCAGATAGTTTCCCTTTCCTATACTCTGGTCACCCCCATGCTCAACCCCCTCATCTACAGTCTGAGGAACAAGGAGGTGAAGGCTGCCTTGGGCCGTGTGTGCTGTGGACGGCACTGGGCTGGTCCCCATAAATGAGCTTGATGGGACCTCTTCATAATTCGGAGGTATAGACATCGGTTTTAGCTGTCTAGAATCTATGTATCATTACTCCAGTCCAGAACTGTTTTTCTTCTGCAAAGCCATCATTCCCCATAATTCCACTTTAATTTGTGTAAGATGGCTGATCCTACCTTTCTCCAAAGACAGCGCTCATGACCAAGGCTTCGCTCTCTGAAAAGAATTACTAAGCCACACTTAAAGGAAAACTCACTGCCACGGAGTCACTTGTGACTCGTGACGACCTTCCATCAGGTCTGTGAGGCTGTAGACCTAAATGGGAGTTGGCTGTCCATCTCGGTCTCCCGTGGAGCATCTGGTGAATTTGAACCACCAAGAAACTTGGTCTTTTGGTCAGTAGTGCAACACCCTACAGATTTGCTGTTGCTGTTGTGTACCATTTGACTTGGAACCATCTCATAGCTGACCCTCCAACGGGTTTTCAGGGACTGCAAATCACATAGGAGGAGATCGCCCATCCTTCTCTGTCACAGCAGCTGAAATCGCAGTACAGCTTCTTACCACCAGACCACCAGAGCTCCTTGATTATTTAGTAAAGACGGACAAAAGAACTCATTTTGGGCCAGTCAAATATGTCAGTCAGATGTTTCCGCAAGCTTCTGTGTAACATTTACTCTCAAAACCCATTGTTTATGGTCATGAATATGAGTACAGTTGTTCTTGGTTTTCAGTGCTGTGCATTTGGTTCTGATTCAGTCTCCCTAAGTACAACAGAATAAAGCACTATCTGGCCCTCTACTGCCCTCACAGTCGTTGTTACATTTGAGCCTCACTCATTGCATCATATTCATCCATCTTGTTGAAGACCTTCCTCTTCCAGGCTGACCTTTTACTTTACCAAGAGAGAGCCAGTGGCATAAACCATAGTGCTGCTTGCCACTCAGGTTATGTATAACAACAACAACAAAAGGCTATGTCTCTGCTGCTTCAAATCCACTTGCTGCTCCCCTGAAGAAAGATTCACTTTTCACAGAGGAGAGCATTCAGATGGCCAAGAGACTTATGAGGAAATGCTCAAAAATCACTGGCAATAAGAGAGATATCAATCAAAACCACAATGATATACCATCTCACTCCAGTAGCAGTGGCAAAGTTTAGCAGGGCAGCAAGCAATAAATGTTGGAGAATATGTGAAGAGCTAGGAACTCTTATACAGTGTTGGTGGGATTGTAAAATGGTACAACCACACTGCAAGGCAGTTTGACATTTTCTCAAACAGCTGAACATAGACATTCCATATGACCCAGCTATTTTACTGCTTGGAATATACCTTGAGAAAATGAGAACTGAGAAACAGAGACTTGTACACCAGTGTTCATATCAGCATTATTCACCATAGCAAGAACATGGAAACAGCCCAAATGTCCAAATCAATGGAGTGGATTGAGAAACTATGGTACATTCATACAATGGAATACTAGGCAGCATGAAGGAGCAATGATTTTGTAAACTACAACCTAATTTGGGAGGGACTGGAGAATATTATGCTAAGTGAACTAACTCAGTTTTATAAGGACAAATACTGTATAAGACCTTTATTGTAGAACAATTACGAGGATGCAAAAAGGGGAGGGGGAGCAAGAGTGGTGAAGATGAGTGGGGGGGCATTTAATCAAAGGGTCACACAACTTGATGGGTGGAGGAAGGTGTGGGTAAAGGAAAGGGGAAAGAACCAGCGTGAAAAATGATGTATATGAACTCTGTAAGCAAACCAGTACAAAATTTAAAAAAATATAGTAAATAAAGTCAGAAACAAGGGGGAAAAGAAAAAGAAAGATGGGAAGTCTCTTCTCATTGAGATTTTTAACCTCGGAAACACTATGCTGCTATGAGTCAGAACCAACTCAATGTCTATGGTATTTGAGTTTTAAATCCATTGCTAAACATGTTATCTTTCTTCAGGGACTGGCCCTTCCTGGTAACATTTCCATGTGTTATTGGTCAGTGTACATCTAAATCTAAAGTTGAGGGACAGAGAAGTACCCTCTATCTCTTTGTAGGAGGCACTATAATTCTGTGGCAAAGGCTATGGGTATAGGGAAGAGTGATGACTTTAGACCCTAGATCTACTACAGAGAGGCAGAATTCAGAGTTTTTGTGACAAACTTTATTTATACCTTGTCTTGCAGCCATGAAGATGTAAGTCTGTAGATTCCAGAAATTACTTTGACTACGACTAATAAATTTTTCTTGATAATTTGGTCCATACACAGAAAATCCGAACAAAGAGAAAGATTGGGATGAAATATTAGGGATTTGTTGATTTTTTGAATCCAACCATACTTTGAGTCTCTTGTATCTTTTCGAATTTCTCTTCTCTGAACCTAGAAATTCCCGGAAGCCCAGTTGGCTTGCATTTTCTACTTCTTTTAGGAACTACAGGTCCCTGGGTGGCACAAATGCTTTTAATTTGATAACTGACCTTGAGGTGGGTGCTGTAACTTATCCAGTGGTGCCACAGGTGAGGGGAAGCTCTAAATTGTGCTTCCATAGAAATTACATCTCTGCCACCCAAGCGAATATAGGCACATCCATGTTTGTCACAGCTTTGTTCAGATTAGCAGAGTTGAAAACAACCCAAGTGCCCATCAACAACCGAATGGATAGAGAAGCTGTGGTATATTTATATAATTGAATACTATGCTGCATTAAAAAAACAAGGAACTCATGAGATATTATACAAAATGGGTGACCTTGAAGGACGTAATGCTGAGTCAAATATCTCAATCATCAAAGGACAAATCCTGCATAGTGTCACTGTAAAAAAGGACTGACATTGTGGTTGAGGGGGAAATTAAGAGGCGATAAATAATGTATACTGCATTGAAATAGATGAGGGGTAGAACTGTTTAGGAGGAATATATGATTAGGTATTATTGTCATGACAACAGTCCAGAATGAACCTGCACAGTGGACTGGACTGAGTGGTGGGGGAGAGGGGAAATTGTATAAAAATTAAATTTTTTTTTTTACTTTTCAAAGAGAAAAGGGAATGGGGGGTAGGCTGGGAGGAAAGTGTGCAACAATGAATGAATTGAAATCCAAAGTCTCTGTAAGCGTTCATTAAAATAAAATAAAATATACAATTTATATTAAAAAAGCGACCAAAAAGTTACATCTAAGGATATTCAATGGAGAAATTGTCCTCTGCAACATCTAGACACATCACGAGTGAGAATGAACTCGTCAGCCATGAGATGGTTTTGGTTTTCAGTGGCTTGTTTTTATCTCTAATTACTAGCCCCGGATTAAGTTGACTCCTTTAATCTTTGAAACTCATTCAGACTTTTAAAAACCTAGTTAATCGTATCAGAAAACAAATTTCATCTCAGCTTACACCCTCCCATTGGCTTTTTTCTGAGACAGATCTGGATTTAGATAATCACACAGCTTTCTTGTTTGTATAACCTCTAACTTGATTGGATGTCCCGCTCCCCCACGCCTCTGGTTTCCTAACCTACAAGGTTGTTATAGTTAAGTACTCTATGAACAATATAGCTGAACTCTGTCCTGTTCTGCACCATCCTTATCATCCTTGAAACATTTGAATCCATTGCCATAGATCCTGTATCAGTCCGTCTCTTTGTAGGTGTTTCTACCTTCCCAAACATGATGTCCATTTCTAAGGAAATGTCTTCCAAGGAAATAACCTCTCCTAACAACATGTCCAAAATATGGGAGACAAAGTTTCACCATCTCTTCAGCCAGGGAATGTTCTGTTTGCACATTCTCCAAGTTACGTCTGCTCATTCTTTTGGCTCTCCACAGAACACACAGCACTCTTCTCTAACACCACAATTCCAAGGTATCACTTCTTCTCCTATCGCCATTATTCATTATGCAGCTCTCAGATGCATGGCAGGTGATTGGAAAGACTGTGGCTTGAATTAGGTGCTCTTTAGTTTCTCAATTGATGTCATTGGTCTTCAGGAACTTTGGAGAGATCGCTGACAGCAGACTTTTTTAGTGCTCTATATTTCCCAGTCTCCTGACTGCTTGTACCAAGGATGTTGACCATAGATTCAAACAAGATGGAATAATTGACAATTTCAATAGTTTCTCTATCATGTTATTGCCTATTGGACCAGTGGTGAGGATTTTTTTTCTTTTTGGGGTTTTTTATGTTGAGATAATTGGAATAGGAACTTTACCTAGGAATCCAGCTTGGGAAGTCATTTGGAGCATCTGGATACTACAGACGTTTGTTTTCTGGTTCTGGTGAGGCATAGGGTGGAATGTTTACTCTCCATTGGGTGTGAGTTGATTTTATTTGGCCTCCTATTTAAACAGTTATTTGGGCACAAGTACGGGTTCTACAAAAAGTGTTCAGGTCTTTCTTTTATAGGGTCGCTACGAGTCGTCTATGAGTCAGTGACACTTAACAACAACAAGAACATAGAGAGAGCTCTGTTGCCCTAGTGGACAGAAAGTGATGCTATCAAGCCAAAGGTGGGTGATTTTAATCTGCAGCTCTCGGGCCTGGTTTTAATTGTTTTGGGTCAAACATTCTTCTAAGTGGTATAGCACTGGTCTGTCTATTTGCTGTAAGAGGTTGCTGTGACACTAAGCACTGTGACACTGATGTGTCAAATGCGACCATGGTTACCCATATTGGACAGTGTTTGGTGGAGTTCCCCGATTAAAACAAGCTTGGAAGCAGGAGTGGCATCCACATCTAAAATAACTTGCCTCTGGAAACTCTATGAACTTCGAGAAATGATGAAAG